GATCAAGTATTGCTCGTCAGTTAAGTAAATGAGTTGTATATAGACAACAGGAAAGCAATTATTTAACTGTAGGTAGAGTATCTCTCGAGGGTCTGTCCAAAAAAACTCCATCGTACGGCAAAACAAAAAGAAATAATTAAGAATGGGGCATAATAAGTCTCGGGCGGGCCGTAAAATTTAATTAAATAGTGGCTCAAATCGCTTGCTCTAATGAGATGGGCGTAATGAACACCTCAATAACTACTCCTTTGTTCCCAAAACGGTTAACGTACGAGTAATACGCTCTCTTTTATGAACTCATAGCATTTCCAATTAAGAAAGAGAAAAATAAAAAAGAATGCATACTTTTCGATGCTTTTTTGTTTTTACTGGTTATAAGAAAAATTAAAAAGATATGTATGAAATTTTCGTCGTTCTTCTGTTTTTACTGGCTGTTACAAAAATTTAAAAGAATGAGCACCTATTTCGTTACTCTTTTGTTTTTATTTGGACTATGCACACGGTAAAGGTATTTTTTACTACAAACTGTTTTTGTCTTTTTACGCAGATCTCTGAACTTACTTGTACAGCTAAATTAGTATGACTTGTTCGTTGTTATTTTACTATGATCAAGCTCAGTGGAAAATGGAAAATCGTTAGTTGTTTTTGTTAGCGTTTGAAAGCAATTTTTACATTTCCTATTATGAAATATTGTCGATTGTAATCACCGGCGTTGAAAGCGTTTAGTTTAATAAGACCCAAAGAAATATTCTCTCATAATATCTATTCTTACCTACTTATGTCATAAAATGGGATTAGTTTAACACTGCAGTACACGCGCCCCCTTTTTTACACGAATACACGCGCGGCCTACTCTGGTAAGCAATTGGCTTAAAATTGGTATAAAATCACTGTAAATCAGTTTGTAAGCAATTTATGTATAGAATTACTATGTAAATGATAAAAGTGTTTTTTATAGTTATTTTATAATCAAAATTTATTTATATAACTATTTGGGATCAAACATTATAAACAGATTTAAAAGTTGTAAATTTTTTGGACCAAAATTGCACTCTAGTACCAATTTTAACAAAAAACAATTGACTGAAAAAATATGATTTGTTTTTTATCTGTCATAGTATTCAAGACTTTCTACTGCCTGGTACACGGGGTAAATCCATTTTTTGCTAGTCTTTCATAATTTTTTTGTCGAGTGATTTCGGGCTTTTGAGTAGGCCCGCAGTTTTGACGGCCAATTTTGGAAAAGTGCGCAGACGCTAGCGACCCAACCTTTACTGGCTTACCGACAAATTTAGTAAACGAGGCTTTCCTGGAATGCCAGCTCTCTGGCGCAAGTTTTCAAAAAGTTATAGCGTAAAGTGTTACCCTGGTCTACTATAGTAGTCCGCGCGTGTACTCTAGTGTTAAGATACTTCAGTTTATTTTATTGAATTTTATTTATTTTCAACGGGAAGAATAGACTCATATTTTGCTTTATCTACAAAAAAATATCAATTTACTACCTCTTTTGAGATTGTCATGAATGGAAATCACTCAAATACCAAGTACCAAATCACAATGAAATTGACCTATTGTGTGTGGTGCTAACTATTGTGTGAAAGGTGAACTGGTAGCTAATATTGTATTTGACCTCACCAGTTGGCGCCACTGTAGAATAAGTCACTCGCCAGTAGTGCCAACTGTTAATGATTGCCGGCATTGTTTAAATACGAGGCCTAGAGTAAGTGCCTGAGGTATATGAGCGGCATGAGAGGATGTTTTTGAGCCGTCAAACGTTAGCGAGACTTCAGATATGCTTCAAATGGCAATGCCAGATTTTGTATGGAAAGTGGCGTCTTTTTTTTTCGCGCGGCCATCGACCAAACTTTGTTTTTTGATTACAAAATAGTGTAATAAACCAAACTTACTATGGCATGTATACCTCTAAACTCAGTCTGAACTGAGTTACGAGCATTAGAAGTTTGATGATTTTCATACTACATTTGCTTTTTGTGCGCAAGTTTTGTAAGAAATTGCAACAAAATATTGCGCTATTTTTTTATTGCGCTGATTCTGCTCCATACTGATGTCTGGAGCCTTTAATGGATGGTATTGTTTGTTTACACATATAATCTCACTATTTTGTTGCAATTTCTTACAAAACTTTGCGCGCAAAAAGCAAATCTAGTATGAAAATCATCAAACTTCTAATGCTCGTAACTCAGTTCAGACTGAGTTTAGAGGTATACATGCCATAGTAAGTTTGGTTTATTACACTATTTTGTAATCAAAAAACACAGTTTGGTCGATGGCCGCGCGAAAAAAAAAAGACGCCAATTTCCGGCATTGTCTTTTGTATGCTCTGTCACTTCATAAATGTCAATGTCACCCCTCCCGTGTAGCTCGCAATACTGGGCACTCACAGATGACCTGTGTGCCTACCATGAGTTTACGTTAGGTGAGCTCGCTAGCGAATACGTCAAAAAATTCTATGAAGATTTTATTTCTTCAAAGTAGCCGCTAGGGGCGCTGTACAATATGTCATACATTTAAATGTCATTTTTTTACGCAGTCGCTAGCGAGCACACCTAACGTAAACTCATGGTAGGCACACTGTAGGTATAATCTTATCGGTCCACACGATCGCCTCCAATCAGTGCAGTTCTGCCAACATAATGCAATATGCAGAAGAGCTGAATCCGCAAACTGGCTGAATAAATAATGGCTGCTCGGGTTATCTCGGAGTCAAGCTCAAAGCAAAAATGAACTAAAAAGCTATTTCGCTTAGCGGTTTTTGTTAGACCAGCTCTTGCCCATTTTTTGTCCTGAAGCAGTTAAGTTTAATGTAATTCTAGGACGTGTAAAAGTGCTTTTTAAAAGTCTACTTGCAATAACCCACCCTTCTTCTGGCGAAGTAGAGTAAAAAGAAAATGAATTTCATGAATGAATTTCATGTATTTTATTATTATTATGTACTAGCTTTCAGCCCGCGGCTTCGCCCGCGTGGAATTTTGTCTGTCATAGCAAAACAATATCGGACGCGTATTTGCTCACCGTTTAGACCTACCCTGGACTACGACAAACATTTAAAAACCAAAATCAGCTCAATCGGCCCAGCCGTTCTCGAGTTTTAATCAGACTAACGAACATCAATTCATTTTTATTTATATAGATGTTATACTATAAAACCTAGTTATTTGCAGCAGTCATTTCTATTCGCAACCATCGCCACATCAATTGAACCAATCTTGCGGGGTAACCCGATTGGCCACAATCAGCGATGCAAACATGTCAAAGTGTATGCAGGCAGAATGCGCAAGCCAGCTGAATATATAATCACTCGAGGAACTCGCTAAGTTCAATCCACCCAGTTATGATAATCTGAACTGGGACCGTGCTTGAATTGTGGCAGACTGGTAGATGGTAGAGGTTAAGCGATGATGCTTTTGGCATTAAACCCGCCTCTTGTATAATTTTTCTGCTTTATAGTTTTTAAATCTACTTACACTAATATGATAAAGGATTTTTGTGCTGACACTGTGTACACGTTGTCGACACGACAAGAAGAATTGAATACTTATGATAAAGAGGAAAGATTTTATTGTTTGTATAGGATCTGAAACAAGTAGGCTGGACCGATTTGAAAAATTTTTCATCATTAGAATCCTAATTATTTCTGATAAACATAGTTGGCACGAAGTTCGCCGGGTTAGCTAGTAAATAAATAAATCGTAGTCACTGTTTTACAAGAAGTTTAGAAAATTACTACTCTCAAAATGAGACACCAATTTCACTTTAATTAGACGTTATTTTGTATACTATTTGAAGCCTAATTACAAGTCAGTTACGCTCTAATTTACGCTGCCAAATTAAATGACTAGACCTCAATATTTGACAATTCTGTTTAATATCAAACTTACCTGTCAACCGGCTAAATTAAAAGCTACCTACCTACCGCTCTGTAGTTAATACGTTCCCCAGTGTGTTCTTTACGCGAGCATTAGGCAGATAAGTAAGCTATAATGAGAGAACGGCCGCTTTGTACGAACAAAGCCCTCTGTATCTTCGCCCTAAAGTCTTTGCAATATGGCACAAAATGTGTTGCCATATTTTTGTTTAGCTCTCAAAGCTGGCAATATGAAGCGGGTATTACGACGTCAACAAGCTGGCAAGATATAAGAGTTTTTGGTAGTAAAGTAGGAGTATAATATTTTTAACGAAGTGGGAAGTTTTATGAAAAATTTAGTTCTAAGACTTACTAGTAGGTACCTACTAATCTTTTATCTTCTTGAAATAAAATAAAATAAAGTTTTCCGTGGTTTTGTGAAACTGCGTATACGAAATATAGGTCAATAATACTTATTATTATGTAAATACTTACATTATAAGTTTGATGCTTGATTAAATTTATGTATTTAATACTATTTCAATACTGGTTATACGATGCGAAGTCTCTAACTTAGAAATCAAAAGCCCCGGTTATTTACTTAAATCGATCCTTGGAAAGGTATCCGCTTTGATCTCAATTCGAGTTTGGTAGTTAGGTGGTTACAAACTTGCCGTTTGTGTAGGTTAAATTGAGATTTGTTTATCTGTAATTACGTTTAAGGAAATGTATGCTGAGTACCTACAGAAGATTATAAATTATGAACTGCGAACTTCTGACCTAGTTATTAATCTACAACTACTTAATATATCTAAGTTAGATACGCACTAAGAACTGAGTAGGTACCTAGTAATGGCATTGTTAAGAGGCCAGGCATATCTGTCGTAAACAATTGGTATCATCTAACTTTAAAAATAGCACATTAAGTTAAATTGTAACATTATTAACTGTACATCTTAGGAGCTAACGTCCTATCTCATTCTTTTATCTTGTGAATTATCTTAAGCATCACAGAGTGTATGCATAGCGCGTTAAGATTATATCAACATCAATTCTAAGGTGTTTACTGCCTGGCTGCGACTGTGCATCGTGGATTAAGAGTAACATTAACTAACGCGTTTCTCTTTTGTTTCAGAATGCCCTCATCCCGCTGAGTCTTCGATCACATCTTCCAAATGTGTTACAATGCGGTTCGGACAATATAACGCAGTGACGTGTGCGTGGGTGATGTGAGAGACATTATGTCAAAGGGTAGGCGCTGGCTGGCCATGGTGGCGGTGGTGGTGCTAGCGGGGGCGGTCAGGGGGTGGGACTGCGTGTGCAACCCCCGGGAGTGTGAGGTGCTGGAACCGAGCGGCTGCCCAGGGCTGGGCATCGTGGTGTGGGATCCTTGCAGGTCAGTATCGAACTTCTTTTAATCTTCTGATTAAATTCGTTGTCAGTTCCAAGACAGTAGTCTTGCACAGGACTAGTCAATCTTCAGTGGTTGAGTTTCACTGGGCTGAAGGTCTTGGCTATACAGAGGTGGGATTTGTGGTTGAGATTAGTCCTATAAGTCAGTTTCAGTGGTACCCAGGATGAGTGGTGATCCACTTAGCGGATCTCAAACAAAGTTATATTTCAGCTGAAATAACACAAGCGAAATTGGTCCGTAGGTACTGTTAATTTTTACTATCATCTTACGGACAAGGAATGTACATGTACTTACCTACATGAAAATGCAATGCAATGACCGTAACTATAAATTAAAACCGGTGTTTTTGTATGGAGTTTGACAGATTTTTGACGTTTGTTACAGTCAAAGTAAAATGGTGCAGCCCAGCCTTAGAATTTGTTTTAAGACCTGAAAAGAATATGGACAATAACTTATACCGTGTGAAATTCCCAGTGCATCAGGACTCGTTAAATAAACTATAAATTGCCCCCAGCTGGGAATCAAAGCACGTCTGCTAGCTTTCTCTTCAAAATGGGTGTAACCAATAGACTTGACCATGAACGCCTAGTTATTTCATTTACTACTACAGCCTGAAAGGTTTATCGACGTATGAAACTGATTTAGGCAAGTTATACTACCGTCCTTTGAACGTGATGTCTTCCACCTGTCAATTAATACCATGTTAATTTTGGTTAGGCAGCTTAATTGATCAGTTGATTAGCGTATTAGATACAGCGAATGGCTGCCTACAATAGTGAGCTTTGTAAATCATGGACATACTCATGGTCAATACTACATATATTATTATCATCACATGTTATAGGTACTTGACTTTTTCGTAAGCGAAGAGAGATTTACAAAAAATTTGATTTGTTTCATCTATGATGTAAGAATACCAAAATACAGAATTTATCTACAATTTCTATAAAATGACGACAAAAGTATGGAAGAAAAACATAACTAATATTTTTATAAGTAAAATAGTAAAGTTCTAAAATATTTATTTATTAGGATTAGATAGCTTAAAATAATGAACTTTATTTTCCAATCAGATAGAAAATGAAAATTTAATTCAGCGACACAAAACAACACAAAAAATGAAGACAAAAGCAAAACTAAATAGATTGGGTAAAGATAGAATGAACCATTATTAAATCATCTTTGAACATGATCCCTAAGAAATTATTATGGCCTGACTTCAAAGGCTTTGAAAGGAACAGTAGGTTCCAAATCATAAAGACAGGTACAGTCAGCGTCCAATAGTTCGTGACACCCAAAGTAGCCAAGAAGTTGACAACACAACCTTATTCCTATTGTAACAAAATTGGTTTGGGGGACTAGTACCCGTTTTCACTATCAATCCCTAATTTTTAAGTGATCCATTATGGTAACACATAACCGGAATTTTGTTTTAATAGGGGTCACTTAAAAATTAGGGATTGATGGTGAAAACGGGCATAGGTGGACCAACAATCTGGTGAAGATCGCAAGAAGGCAGCGTAGGACCGGTCGTTATGGAAATCCTTGGGGCCTTTGTCCAGCAGTGGACGTCATTTGGCTAAAATGAACAAAGGTATTGCGATCTTCGTGGCTACTTTGTATTATTACGAACTATTTGACACCGACTGTACTAGTGGCTGAACCATTAATCACTGGGTCAAATTAAGTTTATACAATAGGAAATTACAACCGTGCATTATGGCAGAGTCTACCATGAATTTAGGTCAAGTGGACGCGCCTCTGCCCTTTTCTGGGTTAGCTGATACAAGCGTGCATTATTTAAGACACCTACCGTATACAACATTCTGTTAATCATTTATTCTTTGGACTCCTATGTGATCTGGGTATAAATAATGTATAGGTTGGTTTAGACTTAACATTGCGTTTAGATAACTAGCACCCGTATTCACAAATCAAATCGAACGCACAGCGTAGAATAGAGCTCTATGATTGATTCGTGTGTGGCCCTGTGCGTCCACGCGCACTGTGAGATCTCAAAGTAATGTTTCTGGCGTAAAATTACACNGCTAAATTATATGCTAGATATAGTTATTTATATTTTTCCCTTCATCAGTAGATTTTTCTTGATTTTTGATATGGCGTACAACCTCTGGGCCGAAATTGGGACAACTCCTTTAAATCATAAATGTCATTTTTATGAATAAAGATATGAAGAAAAATTGGGTGCATTTTTTTATATAATTTTTTCGAAAACTTATCGATACATCTATGTGAACCGTATGAAACATACCCATCACTAGTCACATTCGTTTGACAGCCGTCATTCTAATCAAGCTATATTGGATAGACTATAGTATATGTATGTATTTTATTAACGTTCACACAAACTTCCCGTTTGCAGTGTCCCACAAAAAACAGACCCGTTCGAATTTGTGATTCTAATTTCTTAACACACATATCTATATATATAAAAATGAAACCCGTTTCGCGTTGTCACGGCATCACGTGTGAACGGCTGAACCGATTTCGATAATTCTTTTTTTTAAATGTTTGTGGAAGTCCAAGGATGGTTCTTACGGAAAAAAATATTAAGAAAATCTCTACGCTAAGGCGGTACGAAGTTCGCCGGGTCAGCTAGTTATTAATATTTAATTTTTATGTGTGTTAAGAAATTAGAATTAGAATTACCTGTTTGTATTATTATTATAAAGAGCTGTGGTTTTCTGAATAAAGAAAAATAAAATAAAATAAAAATAAAATTTAAATGCAGGCAAATCTGGATTGCCGCGGTAACGATCCCTTTATCTGCCAACAATGTTGATGTCGATATTATTTTTGTAATTTTTTATTTAGTTCTAGTAATTACTGGTAACATTTTTTAATTCCAAGAGGTAATTGGCATCAGGGTTTAACTATAAACTTTATTGAGTTCACTCCGAGCGGAGGGACTGATCCACTTACTTAGTTTCCGTGAACTTCAAAATAAGGAAGTCGGTTGAACGACTAATGCAATTACAAAAGTTTCATCATAAAACTTGTTCCAGTTCCCGATTTAAAGATATAAACAAAAGGCAATCCTGCACAGAACTTTGTTAGGTAATTTATAGTTAAGTAGAGACGGAATTGTGTTTTAAAACTTGGGTTGTTCATTACACTTTTTGTCACCTGTTTTATCATATCAAGAAAGCATTTTCTATAAAATATTTGTGGAGTGAGGGCTCGTTCCCAAGGTAATCCAGATTTGCCTGCATTTGAATTTGTAATTCTAATTTCTTAACACACATACAAAATTAAATGTTATTGTGTGTGTGCGGGTAGCGCAGGGCCGTTCATTGTGGAAAACCTTGGAGACCGAGGCCTTTGTCCAGCAGTGGACGTCGTTCGGCTGAAACGAAAGAACGAATCCAGTAAATACGGGATCCCACAAAATTGTCATAATTATTTGACACAATTATTTGTGTATGAAATTTTATTTACTATTGAATATGAACGTATCGGTTTTTACGGGACACTGCAAACGGAAATTTTCGTGTGAACGTTAATATTTAAACACACTTCAAAACGAGATCCTGCCAAAAACAATTCCTGCAAAAAACGGGATGTAACCGTGGGAACTAAAACTAAAATATGCAGTGAGTCATTGCAAATTGACGTTCAATATTGATAATGACAAATAGGTTTAGGAAAGCTCACATTAATTGATTAATTTAATTGGACTGATCTGTTAAACGTTATTGGCTTTGTTGAACTATATTTTATTTCCACGTTATAATAAACCTTAAGGGCCTTATTAATAAAAGTCTTTTCCCCAACTAAACGTAACAAAAGCAAAAACAAAAACGCCACAAAGTCTCGGTAATAAACCGAAACAGACAGCGACAATAATACAAAGAAAAGTAGAAATCACCTAAACTGGGTTCAATCGCGATAAGTTTTTATTCGGGTTAAGCAACTTTGTACTTTATATTCCCCGCCCTCCGTTTTCACGGAAATTTCCCAAAAGCAAAAAGTTTTGTCTTATACCGATTTGGGAAATTTTATATTATTTTTAAGGTAGTCGAATGGTAGATAAAGGTTTGATTATAGAGTTTAATTGGCTACTTACTTATTCATCACTAGCGGCCGCCCGCGACTTCGTACGCGTGGATCCCGTTTTACCCCCTTCATCCTTCATCTATCTTACGCGGTTTAGATTTTTTCATACAAATGTTTTTTCCCGCTAACTCCCGTTCCCGTGGGAATTTTGCAATATCCTGTTGTAACTAAGCTTTAAGTTTACTAAGGTACCTGCATACCAAATTTCAAGCGTCTAACTTAAGCGGTTTAGATTTTTCATACAAAAGAATTTTCCCGCTAATTCCCGATCCCGTGGGAATTCCTAAGTATCCTATAACCTGCCCAGAAGTATGAAGAATAATTGTACCAAGTTTCGTTAAAATCCGTCGAGTAGTTTTTGTTTCTATAAGGAACATACAGACAGACAGACAGACAGACAGACAGACAAAAATTTTACTGATTGCATTTTTGGCATCAGTATCGATCACTAATCAGCCCCTGATAGTTATTTTGAAAATATGTTTCATGTACAGAATTGACCTCTCTACAGATTTATTATAAGTATAGATTAAGATTTGGATATGCAGTTAATTATTAATTCGTTGTTAATTTATAGGTTTGGAATGCAACTCGTTTTGTACAGTCAACAGCTCATCAGACTTCAAATTTTTGTCGTAATCTATTAAAAATATAATAATAATTTATGTATAAGATACCTCAGTATTTAAATAGTTGTCCAATAAAATGGTTATTAACTTTTTATAATGATCAAGTCAATTGATCAGCTATAAATAATGTGGAAGTATAGTAAGACTATACATAATTATGACTAAGAACTATTACTTAAAATAACTTAACGCTGTTTCATACTGGAGTCAAACTACCATAATCGCTTTATGGGATTACATCCATAGCATCTTGCAAAACTTATTGAGTATTGAGTATTGAGTTTTATTAAGCTTCTTGTTAAGCTAAGATTAAACTTTAATGGTTCCTTTTAAGGATACTATACTAAAACGTTATTTAATTTCCAGGTGCTGCAAAGTATGCGCGAGGACGCTAGGGGAAGACTGTGGAGGCTTCAGAGGGACTTGTGAGCCTGGCTTGAAGTGCTACGAAGGCTCGTGTACACCCATCACGTGAACCAAGCATGCCCCGACTTGTATCATATGTGTATAGTGTTGATAGAAGAAAACATATCCCGGACAATGTAGCAATCGAGAGGACCAGAAGGCAAGTAGACTTTAGATGAGTGGCATAAATTGTTTGCGACAATAACTTAGACATCGTGTAATGGACAAAGTAACAAATATGTTACTTGAAAATTGACCTGTTATTAAACACAAATGTAACTTTACGACCCATTAAAAGTTTACTTGATGATGCAATTATAACTGAAGATTAACTCTAAAATGTAATTTTGTATAAATTGGCGGTACCCTAATTGAATGTTGATTTTAATTAAGATTTAATTAGTAAATAGTCTACTTAAACAATTGAAACTACAGTTAAAATTGCTATTTTACTGTTATGTAAATAGGCAAGAAAGTTTTTACATCTGAAGTTTCCAAAGGGTGAAAAAAAGGTTAATGTAAATTTAACTATCAGAAAAGCAATATTAAAGGGCATAAAAACATTATAGTACCGATTCGTTGTTGAGATTACAGAATCCTAGAATGGGCCAACGTTTTAATGATGGTTACTTGATATCCAACACAAAGAGAGTGTGACATGATTTACAATTGTATAAATTGATCAGGTTCTCAGATTTTTGCTTTCTCTGTAAAACCCTGAATAAGTTACTCTGTGTTATGTAAAAATTCATCTACATTTAGGTATTCTATGAAGTATATTTTTCTGTCTGAATGTAATATAGATTCTTTTTATAAGGTATGCTTTTGTGCGATATTTTTATTGTGATATAAATTGAAAATTCTTTTATCGTAAAAGTTCTAAGTACGTACCTACCAAAATCCTATTAAGTTATTTTAAAGATCGTCGTTAGAAAACCTTTGAGTAGGTACTTAAGTGAATTCTTGAATTCACATAATAGAGCTTAATGTTACATCGAAACCATCGGATTTAGTAGCAATGGAATAATTTTCAGATACTTACGCATATTTTCGTTTTTCGTTTTTGATTCATGTCTTAATGTATATTATTTTAGTGATTAATTGTAAGATAGAAACTGAAATGAAAGTATATTTTTTGTAGCTAGATGTGAGTGAAAGTTTTATATCAATTATACTTATCAAAGAAGTTAAATTAATTGGAAAACTATTTCAATATTATTACTACTAAAAGCACTCGAACAAGATCGGTTAGGTTTTCTGTAAGCAAAAAATAAAAGTGTATAATTAATGAAATGTTGAGAGGTCGAGAGTAAAAATATGTGCAATATTATTTACCTACTATTAAAACAGTTTTCATAGTACTATGTGTTAGACGCTGTACCTCAGATATTTTTTCCTCATCATACTTGCTGAGAAAATCTCATTTTGGGGGGAGAAGTGTGTATAATAAATGTAATTAAATGTATCTATCTATATTTCTGTGTGCTTCCAGGTTACATTTAGTGGTAAGAAATAATATAACATGTATTTAATAGAGGAGAACAGTTTAATACATTTTGTAAATACGATCTGGATAGCATTTTTATCTTGTATAAGTAGATATTTTCTTGGCTATAAAAGTTATGGAAATAGAGATAAAAAGATAAATACTTCGGTATCTTATGCAGATGGAATAAGTACGATTTTTCAACAGTATTGCATAGTCTGATGTGCTATTCCATGAAATTTTGTCTTTGTTGACCAAAATCAATGTTATAATTTGAATATACATACCTATAAGTAATATTTATATGTTTGTACAAGCCGTTTGAGCTAACTGCGCACCTCGCTGGAATGCGATTCTTCCTCGCACTCACCCGCACACGTCCCCGCGTTCGCCCCGTCCCTACCAGAGCGTCGACGCAGAGTAAATACAAATGAGTAGGTCATCTTCATAGAAACGCACCGAGCGCGGTTTGTATGTGAGCGCGCCAATACGTATGCGGCGCGGACGCACACACTGACAAAATTTAGCGTGGATTAGCGGGGAGTTATATACACCACTAAATTTTTATCACCGAAAAAATTTTAACAGGTTATGTAGAAACGTGTGGAATATTGAAAGCAAAAGAAAAAGAAATGGTTTTCATGAAGTTAATTTTTTTATAAAATTTTCGTTAGTCCGTATTTTACGCGTCACAGCTGGGTCACTCCGCTGCTCGCTAGAGTAGTCGTACGCGCTCGCACGTTGCATCGATCTGTCTGTCTCGCTCACGCCTCGCCCACGCTTCCAGTGGTATTATTACATACTTAGCTAACTTAGACCATTTTTAATTCTAATAAGTGTTACATTATCGTACTTAAATAGTGCTAGCGACGCGTGTGTCAATAAATTACCAATTTTAGGAGGATATTTTGAGTCACTTTATTTTACTCTTTTTTTTGCACAAATGGGATCAGTATCAATAACTCATTACCCAGAATTTTTTTTTTCGGTGATTAAAATTTAGTGGTGTATAATACGTATGCGGCGCCGCATACGTATTGGCGCGCGCTCGCATACAAACCGCGCTCGGTGCGTTTCTATGAAGTATTCATTTGTATTTACTCTGGGCGACGTGACGTGACGTAACGCTGCCAGGTGCGCAGTTAATTGGACCGGGTTGTATGTCTACGTCATCTCCAGTTTACGTAAAATAATAATTTGACGTCTGAGATGTAATAAATTCTAAATAACAAGATTCTTTTTCGCACAGTAAATTATGTCGCAGTAAATAAAAATATTATGTCTTATTTAGTTGCGAAAAAAATTTAATAACTTACATTTTATGAAAAGTTTCAGCAAGCAAATGTCGTGTACATAGATCGTTATAGTTTTGATTGTAACTAAGGAATAAATTAACGTGGATTACATACATTATACCTAATACTATATTTATACGTAACGGTTTTCTATCTACAATACATAACCTAGTCAAAGGTAAAATGAATGGAAAAAAATGTATGGTTCAAAATAAAATACAACATTTATGAGAATAAAAAAACACAATAGGTAAACATCTTTGATGATTCTATTGCAATCTCAATCTAATTTACAGCATATGAGATGAACCTTACCATTCATTTTACCTTAAAAAGTACATTTACCAGCAATATAGTAAACGAAGTGTAACCTGTATTAAGAAACTGTATTGTAAGTTGTAAAAAATACTCCAGGGCTACTTGTTAATTGTGCACACATTAAATAAAATAAATGTAAGTTGAAACGTGTCTTGTATTTAATTCCATCCTTTATGATTCTACGGCGAAATAATAATGGCGTAGTTACACCATACAAATCGACCGAGAAGAAGCGCGAGCACGCACTCCGAAATATGAGTGACGCACGGTGAAACTAACAGAAATGCGTGTTTACATTAAATGCCTCGATCCATTTCCTGCATAGTGTAACTGCGCCATAATACGTTAACTTTCCACTGAAAATGCAGTAAGTATGCAATATAAATTCTCACTAACTGTTAAGAATCTTGATTCTCTATCTCGCTCTGCACTGGCATGCTCATAGCCTTGCTAAAGTAGCGTATATTCATATACACACACATACTAGCTAGTTCAGGCAATTTGTGAGGCGTCGAACAATATACGAGTAATACAGAAACGTAAAAAACGTAGATTGTCTCACTAAAAGAAAAGTCGACCAACCTCATTATTTTTAGGTATACGGTTCTTTAGAAACAGGAAATGGTTGTTGCAGGTTATTAAGTTATTTGAAAACAGTCAAGGCACTTGGCGAGACCCTTCGATCGAGAAATGAGGGTCTCTTATTAGCACCCTACAAATCTCTATCACAGTAAGTAGTACAGTATAGTTAAAACGGTATCTCAAGATATTTCTATCATCCAACATGAAAACAAAATTTTTCAGCTTACAATAAAATCAGTGAGGGCTAATAAAATATTTAAAATGACAAAACAATCATTTGCTATTATAACAGCGCTAACATACTGATTTAATATCGTTTTTAAAAATGTAGGGCAGACATTACACAGTAAAAACAAAAACATTCCTACATAATACAAAAAATATAAAAGGAGTGACCTAATATTCCAACAGAAAATACGCTTGTTGTATGCTTTGTGAACCAGAATCTCTACATGGTCGATGTTTTAAAATAACAATAAATTAGCATTACTGTTCTTGCTAACTTTCACTGTGCCTTCACCCTGGTAATTTGAACCGTTTTGGATTCAAATCGTTATGTCCCTTGTTGTGGTTCACTTGGCTATCTAGGGGTAATCATTGCCATAAAGAAGAATCAGAGTAAGTGCGGTCGAGGTTTCTTGGGATGGATACTCTTGGTACAATAATTATTTAATGGGTGAGTTAACTTAAGTGTCGGGTAAGTAGTAGTTGAGTCATTGTAAGTTATTCTTGGTGTTATCTTTAATACGATACCCTCATTAAAGAGTGAGTTGGAAGCCAATGGCAGACCACAACCCTAGTCTAAGAGTGAGGGACCCACTTAGCTCTGGGTTCGATTCCCAAGTTAACATAATACCTACAGAGTGTTTCCATTATACAAACTAATTTAACTCATATTTTTAAACTTGAAACTTGACTTGTTTTGATGAGCGATCAAAAGCAGACATCGAGCCGATTAATCTATTTATGTGCAAGGTTGTGACTTGAGTTGTTACAAGTCCCACAATTGACGAAGAAGGCTACAAATTCGTAACTTTCTTACAACATTTAATAGTCTAACATATGCGAAGCTCCTAGCTTCCGGATTCTATTAGCATATTTAAACAAACTGAATTTTGATATTTAATATCTTCGGGACTAAATTTACTCATACACTTATAGCCAATTTGGCTGTAACATCGCAGCAAAGCCGCACGAATCAGTCAGAAGGTTCGTACCGGAGATTGGATTACTGTTCCACCACCGCAGGAATGCGGTAACCCTTTTAGCGGTAGTAGTAAAGTTGGCAAAGATAGTTGGTTCTATTTGGATCGAAAGCAAACCAGTGTGTTTACCATGAGTTTACGTTAGGTGTGCTCGCTAGCGACTACGTCAAAAATCATCAAATAATTAAAATGTAAGACAATTCACTAAAATCTTTACAGATTTTTGACGCACTCGCTAACGAGCACATCTAACGTAAACTCATGGTAAGCGCACAGTCGTCGAGGTACAGTTAACGTCAAATAATCCGTCACACCCAAAGCAGCCCAAAAGCTCGCTCGTCTTTGTTACAATGGGAATTATTATTATTTGACGCTGACTATTATTTGACCAACTATCTTGTTTGGATCAACATAAACTACCGGAAACATTTAAAATCAAGGAAAGCAGAAAATTAGACTATAACAACTACATACCTACTTACTTATTTGTAATAGGTAACTTTTTACAGTCCGATTCATGATGTGTGATATTACTTTTTTTTAAGCACTGCCGGGTACGAAATTTCTTAACCT